GTATATGTCCATATTTTTTAAAAAATTTGGACTATGTCCAAACCTATATGTCCATGTCCATAAATTACTATGTCCATGTTCATAAATTACTATGTCCATATTTGTCCAAATTTTTTTAATAAGTCCAAATGTCCATATTGCCCAACACTGCCTTTTAAATTTCATTATTTCAACTTCAGCCCCAACATTTACTTCAGTTTCCATATATTAATAGCTTTATATTCTTCATTACATAGTATAAACTTGAAAAAATTAAGGCTATGAAGCCAAATTTCCCATCAAATTAAGAATCAAATAATTTAAGTTCTAAATATACCTACTGCTAAATAGAAACATTAAATCATCATTTGAGTTATGCTATGTTTAAAATACTTATATATATATTTTAAAAACAAATAATTGTGATATAGTTATATTAAGAAAGAAAAAATATGCAACAAGTACTGATTACATAACATTAGTGTTATAAAATAAAAGTCTTTCTAAATTTGGAAATAGTTATTATTAATTTTTACTATACCTTATAGGTAAATTTAAAAAAATCTATTTTTAAATTCTAATAGTTAAAAGACTTCTTTTTATTTAAAAAAAAAGCCTGAAGTTGGATACCGTATATGATATGCCTGATCTACATTATATGGAATGTTATGCATTAAAACAGTCTATTTTTACATTTTTTTTTACAATTAGATCTTATTACTTACGACAAATTTTTTAATTGAACAGATATCTATTAAAAAATCAAACAATTTTTCAAAAAATTGTAAAAATAGGCTATTTTAATATGTAACATCCCGTATATCCTACAAATTAAAAACTCAATTAATTATAGAAAAAAAATAGAAAATAAAAAAAATCATATTTTTGAAAACGTTCATTATTCATCGTTCCCGCAGCATTTGCTATATAATACGTTTATATGATTTGGAATTTAGCTTTGATGAGATAAATATGTATTTTGAATCCATTCAATGCTTTACTATGATCAGCCTAAAAATAAATCAATTATTTAGTTCGTCTAATTAATATACTGTATTATTTTCGCTACAATATTTTTAATATGAAATTCTAATCTTATCGCTAACACTAAGCAATTTGATT